GTTGGTATTCAACTTAAAGAAGAATTTTGTCCACCTAATGTGATTGAAATGCCTGATAATGACACTATTAGTGTAAATGGTCAATTATTACGAAAGCCTTTTGTTGAAAAACCTGTCAATGGTGAAGATCATAATATATATATTTATTATTCTTCTGAAATGGGTGGTGGTGGTCGTCGATTATTCCGAAAGGTAATATTATCATTTTTAAGATATATAAATAATAATATAATTATAAATATAATATATATAAATAAAAATAGTTTAAAAATTCTATAATTTATATAATTTATTTAGGTAGCAAATAAAGCGAGTGAATTTGATCCTGATTTGTCAGTACCTCGCACTGAAGGATCTTATATTTATGAAGAATTTATGGATGTTGACAATGCAGAAGACGTTAAAGTATATACCATTGGAAATACATATGCTCACGCAGAAACACGTAAATCTCCTGTAGTTGATGGACTTGTAAAAAGGAACCCTGATGGTAAAGAAGTTCGTTACGTTGCTACACTGACGAATGAAGAAAGAAAAATGGCTAGTGATATATCTATTGCATTTGGTCAAACTGTGTGTGGGTTTGACTTACTTAGAGTTCATGGAAAATCATACGTCATTGATGTAAATGGTTGGTCATTCGTAAAGGGAAATGACGAATATTATAGTAATTGTGCTCGCATTTTACGAGCTATGTTTTTAAGTGCTGTTCGAAGAAGAAAGGTTAGCATTGAATTAATACCAAACGAACTTCGATTTGAAAATTCTTGGCGTCTTAAATCTTTTATAGCTGTATTTCGTCATGCTGATCGTACACCAAAACAAAAAATGAAATTTTCTTTTCGAAGCAAACCTTTCCTTGATTTACTTGATGGTACTAATGAAGAAGTTATGATACCTAAAGATGATCTCAAGAAAGTGTCGGATGCTGTAATAGCTGCTACTAAATTACAATGTGATGATTTAACTAAATTAGAACAACTTAAATTAATACTACAATTGAAGAGTGATTTACCTGGAACTAAAGTACAAATAAAACCTTCTTTTAATAAAGATAGTAATTCAATTGAAAAGCTTCAACTTATTGTTAAATGGGGTGGTGAAGTAACTATCTACTTTCTTAAATTTATTATATTAAATATTTATATATATATATATTTATATTTATATATATTTCTCTATGGATTTCATTTTTAGTTTACACATGCTGCTCTTTACCAATCACGAGATCTTGGAGAAAATCTACGAAAGGATTTGATAATTATGAACAAAGATGTCTTAGATGATGTAAAGATATATACGAGCTCAGAAAGACGTGTTGTCGCAACGGGTATGATATTAAAGTGTATAAAATTTCTTAAAATAACTAAATATTATGAATATTGGAGGATATATTCAGTACTTTATAAAATAGTATATTACCTTTATATAACAATAATAATGTTGGCTGATATTTTTAAACTTATTAAACTTATAAATATATATACTGGTATATATGACGTTATTATGCAAAGGATATATTGTATAAATAGCACGTTATTTGCCATTTTATTAAGAATGTAAATATTTTTGAGAGGATTGGGTTTAATAATATTTCAGCTACTTTGGAATTTGGAATATTAATATTTTTATATTAAAAAACATAAAATCAAATATTTATATATGCGTATTAAAAATTCTAACTTTTTAAAAATTTTTCAAATTAGCTGAAATATTTGCTGGGACTTTTATGGATGCAAATGAATCTCCGGAAAAAATTATTGAAACTCGAAAAGAAATGTTAGATGACAGTAATTCAGCTAGGGAACAAATGGATGAAGTGAAACTTAATTTGAAATCCCTTTTAAAACCTAATGAACCTTTGAGTGTGGATTGGACTTGGCCGAAAGATCAACCTGAACCATCTATTGTAGTTCAAGAAGTTATTGATATGATGAAACATCTACGTCAAGTAATGCATGAAAATTTTGAACGAATGGATTATGATAATATTCAATCTCGATGGTGCTGTGCTGAAAATCCATTGCTTTTTAAAGAGCGGTGGGAAAAATTATTTAAAGATTTTTGCGATGTGGATCGTAATTCGTTTGATCCAAGTAAAATATCTGAACTTTATGATTCTCTCAAACATGATGCATTACATAATCGACAATTTTTAGAGACCATTTTTGTTGATCAAAATGGTGACAAGAGTACAGCTGAATTAAAAGGATTATATCAACGCGCAAAAATCTTGTTTGATTTTGTTGCACCACAAGAATATGGTATTGAAAATAAGGAGAAACTCTTAATTGGACTTCTACTATCAGATTCATTGTTAAAGAGTATCATAGAAAATTTAGAGGTATCGGAAATTAATCTTTTATATTTTACTATATATAATCTATATTATTAATAACGTTACCAATGATAATTTTTTTTTTTTTTTTTTTTTTCAGGAGTCCAAATCAAATTTAAAGCCAAGTACAAGATTATATTTTACAAAAGGTAAACATTTTATAATTTGTTTTTTAAAAATATTATATAAATATTAATACATTTGATTATCATTATTTTTGTTTTACTAGAATCTCATGTACATACTCTTCTAAATGTTGTGTTTTTATCTGGCCTTCCCACAAGAATTCCCAGGAAAGACGTTCCGGAACTTGATTGTAAATAATAAATTTTATTAAATTTAGTGAGGTGACAAATATCAATACATTATAAAGGATGGAATAAATGTCTCGTGTAGTAATCATGACATGAGAAGAGTATACATGGGTGTCTAAATTACTCCTCTTAATAAAAAATTATTTCGACATTTAATCTGTCGAAATTAATTTTTCATAGTTGTCAAAATTTTTAGTGAAATTATTTGAATTTTTTATGTCAAATACATTAAATTGTATGATTTCATAAAAAAAAACTAGCAATGTCGAAATTGCTTTTTTCAAAAAATAATTTATACACCCATACACCCATGTATAGAGAAGAGTCTATCCAATAGCGATTTATAATGAACTGATATTTGTCAATGCCTTATTGGTGTTTTCTTTTATTTATTTATAAACATAGTTAACTAACAAATATTCTTATGAATGGGATACGATTTACAAATACGTTTTAAAGACCTCACCCAGATAACTTTTGAACTCTATGAACGTCATCGTGGTTTATCTGGTGAAAAGGAATATTCTCTGCGCGTGGCGTTTAGTCCTGGAGCCTATTCTCCAAATATTTTAGATTTAAGTCTAGATGCTAGGCACTGTTTGATCGTAGCACCAAGAAAGTGAGTTTATCAAGTGTATACACTTATTTGTTTTCATTCTCATACTTATATTAAATACTTATCTTTTGTCATATTTTAGAAATCTTACGGATCACTTACCCCTAGACGAGGCACTCTCTTATTATAAAAATAAAGTTTATAGTCCTCCCGCAAGTGTTATCGCGGAGCCGATTAAACAGAATGTTTGCGAGCCAATTTTTTCGTCATCACCTTTTTTTGATTTTAATCTTAGTAAATCCTTTTAAGTTTTACTAATTCTGTTCATTATAGAAAATTTGGTTCATTGTAAATTAGTTGTATTAATATTATATAACTTGAAAACGTTTTTCACGTAATTTGTATTTGTGCTCTTTGTATTAATTAAATTATGACGTTTATATATTCAATTTTTATGACTGAAGATAATAAATTTTAAAAAATAAACTAGCATATTTTTGTTTTATAAAATTTAAACACGAACATAATCTACTTACATGATATATTTACTGCGTATTTAAGAGGTTCGATAATAGGGATTCTGACTTATAAAATTTTAACAATTGCCAAGAAAAAAACTTAAAATCTAAAAGTATTGTTGACTGATGTTAATTGGCCTCTGGGTAAAGTTGTTAATGGAATACTCCAAGCTATAATAAAACGTATAAACCACTCCAATTTAAAACCGGGGTGGTTTATATATTTTATTATAGTTGGGAGTACTCCATTAACAACTATA